CCCCAAAACCCCAAAACCCCAAAACCCCTTTAATATAGTATATTGGCTAAATTGAAAATGTAATAGTTTAACAGTAATATAATTTAAAAAGTAATGATTCTGCAAATTCTGCGATTCTGTGGGTGCAAAAATGCACTCAACCCTATGACCTACTAGGCAGAAAACTCCTAATCACATAACGATTCCCTCTAAACTTAGAACAAAATAGTCAACAAGCAGTTCGAAACAAGAGCGATGATCAGGATAGGAGAGATAACAAAGTTAAGAAAGGAAGACAAGATTCCTCACCTTGAGATCACAGTTGAAATGGAAAATGATAAAATTAACCCAGACATCCACTTCATCTACTTACATCAGGTACAAGATAAAAAGAAAGACTAGGAGATTGATGATAAAAAAATATACAGGGTGGAGAAGATGGAACTTGCAGAAAACATTGGCAGAGGCTATATCAAAATAGACTTTGACAGATCTAGGAGGTAAGTATTGATTGTTATTTTGACAAAGGAATGTTAAAATGTAATAAATTACTATCAGTAGCTTATGAATGTTTCATAAGAAAATGATAATTTGATGCATAATCCTAACTTGAATGCGTTCTTATTATATAAATTTTAGGTACAAAGTGTTTCTGTTAAGATCACCATAGTTTGAAGGAAAGAAAAAGCAGTAGAATAAAGAGAATGAACCCAATAGCTCAAATAGAATAATGACAAACTTTCAACTCAGCAGTAGCTATGAAATACTTGCATAAACTCCCTCCTTTTCTATTTAGCCTGCAAATAACAAAAAACCCACTCAAGAGTAGACATCAGAAAATACAAGATAAGTTGAAACTTGTGTAATGTCATCTAATGATACTAACATCAACACACTTGGAATTCAACAAGTGACTTAAATCTAAGTCGAGCCACAGCCGTATGAATATAAGAATGTGAATTCAGAATAATTCATTAGTCCCTATAAGAATCAAGAGTCTAGTTCTGCTAAAAAGAATTAGCAGCTTAATGAATCTGGAGACTCTATCCTTATGTCACCACTAATATCAGTGAATCAGGGGAGTCTGAGTAATATTGCTAATAACATATCTACCTCTTAGATTTAATAGTAATTACTCCAACCTGCAGTCAACTCTTCAATTCTGAGAAACTACAATCCCTAGACAAGAACTTACTTCAAATGCTCAATCTACAGTCCTTCTAATAGACTTTACACTGTTGATGAAGTAAATTCCACCTTCTCAGCTGAGTAATTCATGAATCAAAGTTAGTCAAAGCAGCAATCATAGAGAGCTACATTTTTCTCAAATAACATCAGATAGAGTGTCGGAGGCTAGTCCAATTTGTAACAGTAATATTAGTCATGGATTGGCTAGTAAAGAAATTCTCATTCAGGCACTTTTGCCAACAACACTTCCTAGATAAATAACTTATCTCACAGTCCTAACAATGACACATTAAGTCCACATTCTTCTTCTCGCTCTGATAACTTGCAAATTGACAAAACATACAACATAGATGACAGCTAAAGCAGCAATTCCGCGTCAAGGAAGAAGAAAAGAGAAAGCTTAGATCGATCAATAATTTTTCTTCAAAATACTGGGGGAGGAAGTGGAGGAACCACTGACAGTAATCCCTTCACTGTCAATGTATCAACCTTAAAGCAGAAAACTAAAGGAGAAGCCAAGTATAAGTAGTTGTCTAGTGTCGAAAGAGATAAGCTTTCAAAGGGCAGAGAATCTGCACCTATGTATTAGGATTCAAGAGGCACTATTGGTAGTCTAGAAACAGATCAAAGCTCACAAATGCGACCAAGTAATCTTAAATCAAGTCTGAAACTAACCTCAAACTCAAGAATGAGCTACAGAAATTCTAATGCTTCTAAGTTAACTACCTATAATAGAACTTCATTTCTTAATCAAGAAATTATGAATGGCAATATGCAGCCTGTTAGAAATAGTACTGTTAACAATTAAGGCAGTCAGAGAAGATCGCAGCTTAAGAAATGACATTTTTATCTAAATCTATGAGATACTATAAAAAGGATATATGAATTAAACCAATTAATGAAGCCTATAATTTATTATTATTCAATTCACTGCTCTATATGACATGAACTAATGCTTGAGGGGTTTTGGGGTTTTGGGGTTTTGGGG